ATATATATATATGCCAGGGATTTAGCTCAGTGGTTCCACAGCCTGCCTTGCAAGTGCAAGGTCCAGAGTATATGATCCCCAATACCAAAAAAAAAAAAGACTTTAATATTAAAAACTTTTCCAAAAAAGATTTCATAATCTGCCTTAGTCACTGACTGGGGACACGCAAGTTTCACAGCCAAGCTCTTCCTCTGCAGAAAAATAAAGATGCTTCCCTAATTCACATGATTTCCTCTTTGGGGTAATTAAGGCAGTCACAGCCTCTGGCCCCACTGCTCTGCTCTCCTTCCTGCTCCTCAGAGTCTCACAGCCAGGGCCCACCTACCTTCCCAGGGTCATCCCGAGGTCTGGGCACCTTCCGGAAACACTTGTTCAGAGAAAGGTTGTGCCGAATGGAGTTCTGGGGAAACAAGCGAGTGAGATGTGAGTGCTGCGCCAACGTCTCCAAGTCCTCCCTCATACTACACGATGAAGTCTGGCATCCCTTACTATACAAACGGCAGGAGTCGCCTATGGGAAGTCAAGGGCAATGAAGCCAGGCACAGCGGTGCGCACCTGTAACACCAGCACTCTGGGAGACTGAAGCAAGAGGACTGAGCCCAGCCTGGGCAACTCCTAACTCAAAATAAATGTGATTATGAGTGTTTTTGCAGAGCTGATTCTACAGCTTTCCAACTCCTGCATCCACCTGGCACCAGGTACATAAATGCTCCACATCACCACCTTCGTTCCTCAGTCCTCCCCGTCTACTGCAAAAGAATAGGGTTTCTAAACTATTTCTGCGAACCATAGGAAAATTTAAATCAGGAGTGAAACAGGCACAAGTCACACCCAGAGGGAAGCCACTGCTTCCGACAGCTGCACCGCATCTCTGGGGAAAACGGAGGTGGAGCCGCAGTGGTTTCCACAACTGGCAAATGCGCTGCTGCTCCGAAACAGCCAGAACGTCAGCCTTCCTGCGTCACTTGGACAAGAAGCCCTTCTTGCTTCAACTCTAGCCAAACAACCTAACCGCTCATTACTTGCCTGGCGGACCAGGTGTCGGTAAAGACCTAATTATATGTATTTTTTCTTGGTATACAGTATTTCAAAAGATGCTGACTGTGTGCAATAATTCTGGGGAAATCTGATGCGCTTCCTGCCTCGGAGGGAGGGGGTAGATCATGAACGTGGTAAAGTGGCCATAAATACTTGTGAAACGAAAGAGGAGTCGGAAGGTAAGGGGGGGTCGTGATCAACAGCATCCTGCTGTCCCCACCACTGTAGTTCATGGCTCAGCCTCAATGACAGACCTCATGAAAACTGTTCAACTTAATAAAAGAATAAGACATGAAACTCTAAGTGTACATATCCCTGAGACAAGGCAGAGCGACCTGGACCAGGTTGGAGGAAGACACAATAGCAGGGAGAAAAGCTCATAGGCCAAGGCTCGGGCTGAGGTACAGGGCAGCCCCACCTTCCAGCCGATGCCCGCGTTCTTGTAGTAGGGGAAGTTGTCGCAGATCCAGCGGTAGATCTCGCTCAGGGTCATCTTCTTGGCTGGGGACGAGTTGATGGCGTAGGTGATGAGGGTGGCATAGCTGTATCGTGGTTTGCCATCCTGATGGACGGCGGCCTCGTCTTTGCTCAGGGTGGCATTGGGGTCCGTCGGTGAGCCTGGGGAGCACTTGCGGTTTCCCCCCGGAGGCCCTGCCTGTGAGGCGCTGCCCAGCTTCTCGATGGTGGCCCGCAGGGTGAGCTGGGGGAGCCAGTCTATGGAGGTGAGGCTGCTCTCGAGGTCGGAAGCCATGGTACTTCTGGGCTCTGCAGAGAAGACGACAAAGTGGGGTAGAAAGCAGATAAGCATCCCCCCTGGTTGCTGGGGGCAGGACATACCCAATTCCTGCCAGCTGTAGTGCTGTACACCTGTAATTCAACGCTGGAAGGCTGAGGCAGGAGGATCACAATCACAAGTGAGAGCCCAGCCTGGGCAACTTGGCAAAGCCCTGTCTCAAAAAATAAAAAGGAGGCCAGGGATTTAGCTCAGTGGTTCCGGCGCCTGCCTTGCAAGTGCAAGGTCCCGAGTTCAATCCCCAGTACCAAAAAACAAAATAAAATAAAATAAAAAGGGCTGGAGCTAGAGCTCAGTGCAAAAGCCCTGGGTTCAATCCTCAGTACTGAAGGAAAAACAAAAACAAAAAAACAGAGAGAAGCGCCCAGTTCCTAATTTTAAGGGAAGCAGTTTCTTCTCACTATAATTCCCAAGAAAATCGGCTGCGGGTATGGCTCACGACCAGTGTTCCAAGAATCCTCCAGCAACTCCGGCACCAGGCCGGGCACGGACTGCCTCTCAAGCCCCATCCAAGGGCGGAGCACGCTGCAAAGCGTCTTCCCTAGTGCGGTCCGAGATCAAACCGCACCCGTTGGTCGCCCTCGCACGGGGGAGCCCTAAGATACAGTATTTTTAAACTCTGCAGGAATCAGCTTACAGGAAAAACCCCTCCTAGAGAGCAGGTAAGTCCAGCTGAAGTCCATTCCCCAATGACCGCACACCTGTTGTAATTCCAGAGCACACCCGCAGGTCGTGTATGAGACCCCAGCGGGAGTGCACACGCCCAAGCCGAGGAAGCCCGGGCAACACCTGGGAAGATGCTTCGGGTCGGATTCACAGGGCGCGCTCCTCGGGGAGCCTCGGGCCCACCCGGGCGGTAAGGCGCGCACCCAGCAAAGGCCCATCTGAAACCAGTACCTCAAGGGCAGAGCCCACTCCGGCGCAACGAGCAGCTCGGCGTACTCTTATTCACGCGCAGCAGTCGCGCACGGAAGCCAGGTCCCGGGGAGAGCGCGCAGCTGCGCTCACACCTTTAAAGCTCCCGCCCACAGACGCCGCGCCAGGAAGGAGGGAGGCGCACGCAGGGTCCGCCCACTGCTCCTGCTGGCCGGGAGACACCCAGCTGTGCGCCACGGTGACAATCAGCTGGGCTAAAAATAGCCACTCTGGAGCTCAGCCTGGCTCCCCTTCCCGCCCTCCTCCTCCCTCCTTCCCAGCCGGGCACCGGCTCGACGCACCTCCGTCCACCTCCCAGCTGCCAGCCCGCCCACGCCAGGCTGCCAACCACACTGCCCGGCGCTCTCGCCGCCAGCAAGGTGCAGCCAGGGCGCCACCGTGGAGGGGAGGCTGGACAATGGGGTGACAGCTGATGCCAGATCCGATGCCAGCAGTCCCTGGCACTTGCTGCGCGACAGGTCTGTGCCCGCGCAGCTGCGGGATTCCAGCAGCATTTCTTCCTCTGGCCCACCAGGGAGGGAACGGCGCTACGGGCCACGGCTGACGGGACGGAAGCGTCCTGCGCACGTAGGTGACGTCTACATCCACAGCAGAGAAGCGCGGGGACACAGACGCCCAGGTACACACTCTGCAGGTGAAAGCTCAGTCCCAGGCGGCTGCCCTCCCTCTCTCTGGCCAGAACACACTGCGCGCCAGGGTGCGGTTCTGGCCAGGAGCTGGGCGCTTACCCACTACCCTGACCCCGCCCCGGGTCCCACCCCTGCACACCCGCTGGACACACACGCACCCAGCCCCAGCTCCCGACAAAGCATCACACCCACACCCAGGCCAAACGCGGGAGGGAGCACCTCAGTGCCCGGGCAGGGCAGCAGGACACAGCTGTGGTCACAGAGCTGTGGATTGGGAGGAAGCAGCCAGCTTATAAATAGCAGTGTGAAAGGGTTCCCCTTCAGCCTCAGCTCTTCTCCCCATCAACCTCCTTTTTATCCCACAGTCTCCACTGTGCCGAAACCATGGAAACTTGAACAGTAAGAGTGACACCTAATCATTCCACGAAGACACACACCTTCTAGGACTTCACTAGATCAAAACATCCCTGGCTGTCGCTGTCCCAGGGAGCCTGGGCTGCAGCGCAGTCCTGTGGCCAGGTTTCCCCAGCTGAGCCCACCAGCAGGCTCTCCGTGGAGCCCTCCCGGAAGCGGAGGCCTGTCTTCTATTTTCTTTCTCTTTCTCAGAGACAGGGTCTCACTATGTTGCTCAGACTGGCCTTAAACGTAAGTGATCGTCTTGCCTCGGCCTCCTGAGTAGCTGCACTACAGGTGAGCACCACCTCACTCGGATCCTTAGCCCCCACATCTCCTGCCATAGGTCCCTGGGAAATGTCAGCTTCAGCTGAGCCCTCTCAGCACTAGGCCTGGGCACGAGTGTGCATGGGGCACCGCCGACTGGCCATCCAGCCCTCTGTATTTTGCTACTTGTCCTGTGCCCTTCCCTACCCTTACCCCAGCACCAGGCCAGGACACCAGAATTAAATTTAACCTTTCTCAAGTACCCTCCTGGCTCAGCCCTCTGGGACAGGGCTCAGCTCTCAGAATGGATCAGATCTTGCCAGCCCCCAGAGGCCCAAGGGCTGGTCCTTCAGCCCGGCCCTTCCTCAGCCCTGCACTTCCCCATTCTCAAGGAGCAGCTCGGGGTGGAGAACTTGGGGCTAAGGTTCTGTAGTTCTATCCCCACCCGTGCTGCCAACTCACTACCTGTCCCTAACCATCCCTGTTCCCTGAAGAAGTCTTTGTGCCTCAGTTTCCCCCCTCAATAAAAAACGGAGTCAGAGCCCTGCCAGAGCTTCATCCCTGGAGGAAAGGGAATGGAGAGCCAGTGGCTGCCATGCATTCCACGCTGCCCGAAATAATGGCACGAGGCTAATCTTCTGACTATTATTAGAAAGGCAAACAAGAGGTAGCTCCGTTTCTCCGTCCAATCACCCGAGCTCCCTGACCTCTCTCCAGGTGGGCCTCGCGCCACCGGGCTTGTGCAGAACCAGAGTCAGGCCACATTCCTGCGTGCACACTGGAGGCCCAGAAGGAAATGCCCACGGCACCCGGGAGAGGCAGCCAGCGGGCAGGCTCCTCCCAACACAGGCCTTTCACTTGCAGGCAGCCGGGGAAGGCAGAGAACAGCAGCAAAGAGAAACCACGGGAAGGAAAGACCAGCCGGGGAGGGAGACCAGTTTCTTTCCATTCTATCTGAACAGCAAGGTTCGCAGCAGGCCTCTGGGCAACACTGAAGTCAGGTGTTACTCAGGCTCATGTCCTGCCCTACACCGAATGCCAACACTAACTGGCAGTGGCCAGGCATTCTCAGGCCTGGCAAACACCAGCAAGGCACCGCACCCCTCCACATCTCTGCTTCTTTGCCCAGCACACACAGATGGTAACTGCCTGCCCGGGTTTGTGAGGATCCTCTTAATATCTGTGAAGCACCAGTGTGTGTCATCTACGGGCAGCTATTTAGTTTGAATGGGGAAAAGGAATGTTTAGTGGGTTGTGGGTGTGGCTCGGTGGTACAGCGAGTTAAGCACACGTGCACAGCTTTGGATTCAATAATCCCCAACACGAGAGGGGGTAGAATTAGAAATTAAAACTCAAAAAACTGACAGACCTTAGAGGTCAGACTAGAAGCAGCAGGCCTACAACGGTCTGTGTTGCAAAACCTAAACTGAGTTTGCAAAGGTTTTCAGGATGCCAGAATCTCACACTTCCTTTAGAGATTGTATTATTAACACCAAGATGTAGAAAACCCCAAGGATGAGGGAATGGGGCAACATCCTCTCTTGTCTGTTTGGGCAACTAGGTGTGGCCATGGGATGAGGTCTGGAAATCACAGTGAACCTCTCTCGACAGCCACCTGCTGCTGGCGGACTCCTCTGAGGGAGAGCCAGGGACACACAGGGGAGTGAGGCCAGGTGCATGGCCAGCCGGTCAGCTGCAGCGTGTCCGGAGGTGTCACCGCACAGCTTGCCCTGGGGCATCCAGAAGCTGCACTCCAGCATCTGGGAAGTGATTTTGCAAGAAACCCACTGTGGTTCCACCAGAACCAATCCTTTTAAAACGAAGGGAAGCAGTTCTGGACAGAGAGGAGTCCAGGATCCTTCTGAGAGCAGAAATGTCAGCTAGGAAGCTGCTTTCTGGTCCTAGAAGCCACAATCCCAGCCTAAAACGGGGCCGCCTCCGCGGGAAGAGAGCACCCACTGGCCAGGGAGGCCAAGCCTTTCCCGCCAGCCAGGCACCCTCAGTACCACCTTCTCCAGAAACACAACTTGCGGTCCTGGGGTACAGTCTGACCCTCACAGATGACCTGTCCCGGCACATGCATCCTCTCACTCCAAACACAGACGGGGCCACACCCTCCTCACATCTGTGAGTGCAGCCCTGTCCCTACACCACCAGCGGCTGGTACCTGCCAGAACCAAGGGCACAGACTTAGGAGATCTTCCGCCCAGACACTGGAGTGTGGGCTTGCTGTGGGGCGTGGCACGCCCAGGAAAGACAAAGCACCTTCCTAATGTGAGGCAGAAAGGCAGGTACCCAGCTGGTGACCTCAGGCTGGAAGACAGATAGCCCAGCTGGGCCAGGAAACCTCCTGGCACTTCTTTCTGGCCTTTTCTGAAGACTGTGAACTTTGATGATTCCCTATCTTCTGAAGGGAAACGTATATCCAAGTTTCCAGGGATCCAGAACTGAACAAGAAGCAGGAAGGGAGCCAATGAGATCAATAGGTGCTTCTCCAGAAGAAAGGGCTAGTAAACCCCTCGGGGGTCAAATGTCCCCTGGTAGGGCCACGGATTTAGCTCAGTGGTGCCGCTGCCTGCCTCAAAAGTGCAAGGTCCTGAGCTCGATACTGGGGACCAAAAAAACAAAACACAAGTCTCCCTGTGGTCAACTTATCGGGATTGAGACTGGAAGGAAGGAAGCACACAGCCAGTCACCTGTCTTCCATCTGGGAACCCAGAGGAGCAGTGCAGAGGACAGGCAGACCCGGTACTGGGAAGACCTTCAACCCGGGTGTGGACATTTCCCTGTCCAGCCTCTCTGAGGACACGAGAAATTCGCATCCTCACCTCTGGATCTGGCGGGGCAAGGACACATCCAGCCAGGAAAGGGAACGTCAGGCAGGAAAAGCAGCTCTCTTGTCCGCTGCGGGCCGGTGGGGACAGACTGCTTCCCTAACTGTCAAGGGGGCAATAATCACAGCGGGCTGGAGAGGACACGGCTGGTGGACATCGTGCTGATTTCTCTAGGGTGCCCAGGACTTTGGTGAGGGCAGCACTATGTGAAAAGGCCCACGTATGGAGGGCGCTGTGGTGTCCGGTGTGTTCTGCTGTCCTAACTACACAGGACGCCTGGAGTTCTGGAAACTTGTCCGTCATCCATCCCCTACCCAGAAACACCCACTTCCCTGCGGGCCTCTAACGAAGTGCGCCCCGTAGTCTCCAAACACTCCAAACCCATTTCTCCGTCTCTGCAGCAAGACGTGGGTTCGAGTCCAGCGCTGCTTCTGAACGCGTTTCCCAGGAGACTGACGGCCGTCCCCACCGAGGAAACCCAAGACCCCCTGAGACCCAGCGGCAACTCAAGATGCCAGAGAGAGGAGCACTGACCTGTCTCCAAGTTTCCCCGGGCGCAGGGAGGGAACTGCCTGGTCCTGGAGTCCGGCGCTGGGGGGCGACCCCTCCTCAGAGGCAGGTGACCGGCCTCATCCTCAGAGGCTCTTCCGGTACCGGGCTGAGCCTCC